ACCTGTAAAATGAGGTTCACCTATTTATCTAATTTATTTGAAAGAAGAGCTCATGGAGGAAAACTCCAAATTATAAAACTCGCCTTTTATAACAATCATTTCTTTATAAAAAGAAGGATTTTGTCATGCAACTTTCAGTCTCTTTATTGGTGTCTCAGCATAGTTGATTAAAATCCCTGGAAGCATCCAGAAACTCTATTTAATAGCACAATATATCTTGATATTGGGAAAAGAGAAAAAATATATAAAGGTACTTGCAGGTTGTAGATACAAAAAGCTAATTCCCTTCTCTGGAGGAAGAGCTCAAGGACTTCAGCTTTCTCACAAAGCTTGTTCCTATAGAAAGGATCCTTTCATATGGGACAAGACTGATCTTTAGAGGCAGTTTGCATTTGATGCCATGTGGTATTTTAACTCTGTCAAAGAAGATATGTTAAATCTATTGCAGTCCTGGTATCCTCTGTGTCACAGCTATTTCCATGACCTCAGATTCCAGGGATAAATATTCATGGCTAATGGGAAGAGACATCACATCATAAAGAGAGAGATTACCAAGAAAAGTTCTAAAAGGTTGTATGCCATTAAAAATCTGGTGGTCATGACAGAGGCATTATTAAGTTTGTGGTAGTGTACAGTGAGTTTGGTGGTAGTCAGGAACAGAGTGCACTGACATATTTCACAGCTTGATCTGAAACCTGCTGATGGAAAGAAGTCTTTTGACTTTGGTAGTTTTTGGATTAAGCATTTTGTTGACATTGTTATTGTCATCGTTTTATCTTAAGCAAGTATTAAGCAAGCACATGCTGCAAGTCATTGGCCTGATTGAATAATGTGTAGCATTGCTATGTTTTTGGAACACTGGACATGGGTATTTTGCAGTTGCTTGATTCCTGAGGCTTGTCACTTCAGAAACTCAGCTTTAGTGTTGAATAAACTTATCACTGCAGATCTGGCATGATAGAGTGTAACACAATATGTTCTGACTAGCATGTAATCCTTCAGCGGATGACTGTAGCTCCGGGGATGTTAACATAGCACAAGCTACTGTTTTAGAACACTTTCCATGGTGTTTAGCAATGCGCAGCCTTAGAACATGAATTTGTCAGACAAAATTGTACAAAGGTCGAGAAAATCAGTGGCAACTAAAACTATTTCAGTTAATGTTCATTTAAGGACTTTTATGATCAGAGCTAGGACTGTAATGCTCTTGCTAAGATGCTGACTATGTTGCAAACATGCATTGTGCCAGGAGAGATGTTAACAGAGAATTTAATGTCTGTAAATAAAGATGAGAAGAAACTCTATCCCCTCAGGAAACTTGTGCCCAAAATACTTTACCCATGTTCTTTTACCCATTAAGAATCAAGTAGGAAACATTTTTTCCCCCCTGATCTTTGAGGGATAATGTTAAATTACAGGTATCTTGCCTTTCAGATTTCACAGTGAGCTTGTAAATCCAGCACTTGATCTTGCACATTGCTGAGCTCATTGTCTGGTTCCACAAGATGCACTGGTGTCTGTTCTAAGGTCATTGTGCAGATACTGACACTACTCAATATAATGAGGTGTAAGCATAATATTCAGAATTTTTGACTCTGTAGAAAAATATTGGAAAAGTTAACAGGACAATGTTGTGCCTGTTACAGGGCAAGCTTAATCTGCTCTTACTTATGTGACTATATTATTTGTCCAATGATGCTAGCAAATGACTGTTGGAGGAAGATTAAATATTTTCTACTCCCAGTTCACTGAATCCACTGTGAAATTATTGGTAAATCTTTTAGGATAGATTTTTACTTTTCTTTTAGCATATTAGAATCTCATTCTTTTTCAAATCCATTACATTAATACATAACTTCCTTTATAAAACAAGATTTTGAAAGTTAATATATAATTTTCTGCTCACCTTGTGCCTGTTCCTAATTTTCTCCCATAATGAGTTCAAAAAATACACTATATGTTTCTCAATCTCTGTTTTTATGGTTTTTGGCTTTATTTTGGGCAACTCTATAACTTCTCAAAAATATATATGCAGAAAAAAGGCAGAGTTGTTGACCTTGAGATACTGGGTATGCACTCATGAGAATTAAAGAAACCCATTTCCAGGAGAGTAAGTTTTCCCAGTACCAAGAACTGTATTTAAATATACAGTCAAGTGATGTAATAAGCAAGTAAAGGTCAGTATCTCAAGTCAAGTTAATGTGTTACACTGATATGTAGAGAATAGTAGCTAGTGGTGATAACGCAGTATGGAATTAAATTAAAAAATGTAAAATAAGAAAGGTAAATGTGTAAAATCAGGATGAAACATTATTTTAAAAAAATTTAATAGTGATTTTTCTGTTAGAGCAGAAATGTCACCTATCTTACCTACCAAGTTTAGCAACAGAATCTCAGAAAAGGTTTGAGCATCTGCAGATGAGAGGTTTGAGTGAACAGTGAATCAAGGAGAGGAGGAATGCATTTAGGGACTAGACACTTCTTTTATTACCTTAATAATGTAAAATACTTTAACCTGTATAAGACAGTCAGATCATATAATCCTACCTCATCAAAAGCAAAAAAATGTATTTAATGTTTGCTTCGCACTTAAGGTGTTCCTCCATGTTGTACTGTGTTACTCATACTATTTGCTATCTGCTTAAACTGACGTTAGGCTGACCTGGTGTAGTTGTTCATATTTGCCAAGCTACTGTTCTTATACTAAGCTACTCTTACAATAATAGAATAATTCTGATTGAAAGGAATTTAGGGATGTCTCCAGTCCAACCATTTCCTCAAAGCAGGGGTCAGCCCTGATATCAGACCAGGTTGCTTGGGGATTTAACCAATTGGATCTGGAAAACTTGCAAGGACAGAGACTGCAGCCTCTCTGGGAAATCTGTGCCACTGCCTGGCTGTACTCATGGGGAAAAAAATAATTATTTTACACTCTGTCTGACTTCAGCTTGTATCCATTGCTCTTCATCCTCCTGCCATGCACTTCAGTAAAGAGCCTGGCCTCATCCCTTTAGTGACCACCCTGTAGGTATTGGGGACTGCTGCAAGGTTGCCCTAAAGCCATCTCTTCCTCCTCAGCCTCTCCTGACCGGATGAGTGTTCCAGCCCCACAATTATCTTTTGGTTTTCCACTGATAAAATAGCAGAGGAAAACTACAACCCACAGTTGAATGAGAAAGTGGTGTATAGGGTTGGAGAGTAAAGGCAAGAATGAGAGAGACCTCAGGAAGAGAGAAGCAGGGCAAAGGGATGTCTCTTTCAAGTTCACGCATGTAAATGCACACTGCCTGGGAAACTTGGGCTCTCCGTGTGTGTCAGGATCTAAGGAGAAGCCAGTGAGGGGTGACATCGTGGTAGAAATGTGTTACAGACCACAATAATAAAATGAGAAATCGGACACCATTTACTTTGAACAAATTCAGATGTCGTGGTTTAGGCCTGATTGACAGCCAACCACAATGCAGCACCTCTCTCTCCCTTCCCCTCCGGCAATGAGAAGGGACAGAGAGCCAGGCTTAGGGTTCAAGATAGGACTGGGATGGGGGAAAATCCCCCTTTTATGATCACGAGGAAAAGGCAGACTCGTTAGGGGAAGAAAAAAAGACATACATTTATTACAGACACTAACAGCACATAAGAGAGTGAGACAGTGAGAAGCATTGCCACATCTTGAGAACACCTTCCAGCCACCCCTCCCTTCTTCCCGGGCTCAGTTCTGTTCCCGGTATCTCTACCTCCTCCCCCAGTGGCGCAGGGGCAGGGAATGGGGGGTGCAGTCAGTGCTGCCACTTCCTTCATCTTCGGTGAGGGGAGTGTCCGAAACTTGTTACCGCCTGATCCATCGTGGTCCCCCTCTCACAGCAGCCAGTCCTCCACAAACCTTCTCCAACATGAGTTCCTCCCATGGGCCGCAGCGTTCCCCACACTGCTCCGTCATGGGTCACTAACTTTTCTCCGACTGGATTCCCTCCCACGGCTGCAGCCCTTCCCGAGCTGCTCCGGCGTGGGACTCCCCCGCGTGCTGCAATCCTCCCAGCGCTGAATTACAGCAGCGGGGCTGCCTTTTCCCACGAGACCCCCGTGCTGCTTCGGGCACAGAACCTTGATCAGCCGAGCAGGAACAACAGGCCATAAATCAATGTCTGCTCCACTGCAGATCTTCATGGGTGGCAGGGGGGGCCGCCCTGCCGTCTCCCCACAGGATACAGGGGGGTCTCTGCTCCGGCACACCTCCCCCCTCCTTTCTTCCTCCGTTCCTCCACTGACCTTGGTGTTCATGCAGCTGCAGCAACTCCTCCTCACAAGTCCGACTGCCCGTCACCACGTCCCTTCTTAAATACGTTATCGCAGAGGCGCAGCCGATTGGCTCAATTTCCCAAACAGAAGTGGAGCTGACGTGGAGCTGGGGGAGCTTTGAGAAGCTTCTCACAGGGGGCCGCCCCTATAGCCCCCTCCCCTGCCACCAAAAAACTCCACCACTCACTCAACCCAGGACACAACCTTTTAACCATTAAAAATGCTAAATGCTATGCTCAAACATGGCCTCCTGTTGTAGCTTCTTTTATTCTACTGCGTTATGCCTTTGACTGGATACTCCAAACTGATAAAGTATATGTGCCCTTGTACTGAGTGATCTCAGTCTTCATTATCAAAAGTGCTGTGTAGGTAAAGGAGCTGTAGGTAAAAGTAGATTTGTACAGTGCCTTGAAAAGTGCAGATGACTTCTGTTTGCAGAACCAAATGCAAGCAATTTTAAAATGAGGATTCATTTATGAGCAAAAGCTAGTAATCTGGAGTGAGAGGTGAAGTGCAGAAGACTGTAGTTCACTACATGTAGCAGTGACAATTATAAGTCTGTTGTAGGTGAAGAGCTTAAAGGTAAAAAATGATAGCTCTGTTACAGTTTGAATTTTCCTTAATAGCCAGATTGTTTGATTGTGTTACTGGTTCTTAATGGTCAGATTTGTGTAAACCAGGGGGAGAATACTACTGTGTTCCTGAATCCAGGCTGGGATATCAGGTGTGCTGGAATTTGCCTTTGAATGCCTCTTTTTAACTTGTTGCAGCTACTCCATCAGTTCCAGCACCTAAGACAGAGCCTTCTCCCTCACTGCCTTCTGCTGGTTCTCTGCCTAGCGTGGCATCCACTACTGCTTCGCTTCTCCCTTCAGCATCACAGCACACAGCAACGTTGCCCAGCTTGCCTCAGTCCAGTGATTTGGCCAGCAGCTCACTTTCCCAGTTAAGCAGGTACAGTAGGAGTTGTACTGAAAGCGGTTCAGTTTTGGGGAGAGGGCAAACAGGAGGGTGATTGTGTATGGGGCTGTCAGACACCAGGGTCCCCTTTTCTGACATTAACTAGAATTAGGAGAAAGATTCAGAAGAGACTAGGCTGTTTCTGACAGCGAAGTATGAGCTATGGGCTGCCTCTTAATGATAGAGCAGCTGCTGCCCTCAAGTTTTCATGGTATATGAACAACTTTGTGTTTCAATGTGCTCATAATTGAGTCATGTCAGCTGAATTCATTCCCCCAATTTGTTTTTTCTACTATGTCCACAGTGCCTGCTGTTTGTTTAGTGTCATATGTTTCAAATCATTGTTTAACAGTTTTACTTCCTGGCTAATTTTGAAATATTGTAGTTTCACTTACATTTGAATTTCTTAAAATTAAAAACCAGAAATAATTCCACAGGGGAAGTGTGTGGTTTTTATATGCTTCCTTAAGACACTTTGAAATACCAGATCAGTGTTCCTGGAAATACATTCAGCACAGCTTAGCTCACTTACACTGTCTGATTTTCTCAGTGTTGCTTAACTTGAGCTTCATCCTCAGGCAGGTGACATCCTGAAGGAATACTGGTTGGGTTATACTTTTTATAATTACCTTGGTATTATATTTGCTAATGTAAGAAACTAATCTGATGGGTTACCATTTTTTTTTTCCTTGCTTCACAGCTAGGACACGGTTGCTTCTCTAGTAATACATTAGTGTTTTATGTTGAATAAAATGGCAAATATGCCAAATAACAAGAGTTATTCCATTCACGTTAGAAACATCATCTCCCCACATTTGTTTGCAGAAAATCTGTGTACATTGGTGGAAATTTTAGTTGGAGGTTTGATGCTGTTGGGCAGGTACCAAATGCTGTGAAAAGATGATTTGTGACTTCCAAGCATGTCTGACTTGATTGTGCTAGCAGCTTTTGTTGGTCAGATGGTGAATTAAGGCTTATTAGAAGATGTGGGAGAGTGAGCGAAGGAGTGGTTTAAAACTGTATGTTGGGCTGAACTATTTTTCCTTGCTGCCTGAAGTGGTGTCATTGTAATTCCTGCAGATGCGGAACAGTTTTAAGGAACTGAAGTAAAAATAATCTATGAAACTGCTGAGATTTATTCTGGTCCCACACCTCAAAGTGCTGCCAGAAGTGTTTGCCCTTAGGGCTTATAATTTAGCCTGCAGCTTTGTTATGAAAACTGCCGTATTTTCTTGTGCCTATTTCCATAGAGAACACTAAAATATTTGTTATGGTCAGAATCTCTCTTGCTTCCAGTTTCACATGAGGGGAGGGGCTTTTTGAGAACCAAACCATACATGTTTTTATGGCTTTATTTTGTTTGCCTTTGTTCAGTGTTCATTATGTTTATTGCATACCGTATGGTAAGTTATGTTCTTGACCTCAGATGTAAGGTATAACTTTTGTCAGTGTAAATGTTTGAGAACCAGTTTCGGTCACCTTTCGGGGAGACATTTAAATGTCTTTGGGTTATAGATGACTGTTGGTGCCACTGTTACTGCCAAAAGTTTACAGGCCTGGTCAGCTATGAAAAAAAGGTGGTGCCAAAGGAGAGTTGCTTTCTAAAATGACATTACCTGCAGATGTTTTTCATCAGGGGGTTCTTTGTTTTCGTATTTTACAGTGTGTGTATAAAACTGAACTGATAGTTCTGATTCATCCGATTCATCTTTTCAAAGAGGGAATGGGTTTTGGAGGAGTGTAGTGGTATGAAACAGCCTTGATTAAAGCACCAGATTCTGTAGAAGTATGGCTAATTTTGAGGCTTTCACGGATGTTCTTCTTTTGTCCTTTTTTTTGAGCTCTGTCTTTTGAGGGTGTATTGGGGCTTTTGGCAGAGTTATGGGGCAAGTACCCTGCAGTTCTAATTGGTTGAACTAATGTCATGTAGATAAAAATGCGAGAAATACCATAGTGAGTCAAACCAAAGCACTGCCTCACCTAATAAATTAATACTGGTGCCCTGTGGCAGGCAGAAGCAGTTGCTAAGAGAAAGAATGAGAAACAAGCCATGTGTTATGTGAACCTTCTTCTGGTTTTGAACTTATGTCTCTTGGAGTCAATGCTACATAATTCCTGAAGCAACTATTGTTTTTCTGAAAATAAATTGATAAATACAAATGAATGGTGTTTTAGATGTTTTTTGTTAGTAATAGCTGTCTTTGTACTTCAATTTTTTCCATTAAAAGTTAGCAGGATATTAGTTAGTGGAAAAAAGGCCCCTAGGGGTGTTTGTATATGTCTGTGTGTATGTTTATACACACACAACCCTACAGACAATTTTTTCTTTAATATCCTACTGTGTGTATATGTGTAATTTTTATTATTTAATATCCTACTGTCTGCTCTGTGATTGTATATTTATATACGTGCATATAAACATACATCTAGATATTAAAAACAGTTATAGGAAAAAACAGTTTTATTAATTCTTTGTGATTTCTTTCTAGCTCCCTTTCCAATCATCAGAGCAGCCTCTCTCCTGCCTCAGTGTTGTCTTCAAGCACTTCATATGCAGTAAGTCCTATTTGCATTTCAACAGGTGTTTGATTTACAGTCATTTTATCTGATGATTAAGACCCTCTCCTAAAGGTCGTTGTGTCCTGGTACACTAAGAACTGAAACAAGAGCCTTATCGTGAGGAAGAAGGACTGCCAGCCCTCTAGTGGTAAAAATAGTCTTTACCACTTGTGATTTGTACTAGATCAGGAATAGCTATTGCAGAGGCTTGCCAGTCACACAAATAAATGCAGAGGAAGTTTTTGTGTCAGCAAGGGGGGATTGAATTAAGAAATATTTAATTGTAACAAATGTACTACAAATAATAAAAAAATATTTAGAAGCGGCTGTCTTAAAGTGCTCCAAACTGTGGACTGTTAGCAGTCTCCACTGGAGATGTTAGCTGGCGAAATGCAGGTGATGGAATGACACAGGTCATGACAAATGCCTCATGACTGATTTTAGAGTTTACAATGTGGCATTGTTGTCATCTGTGTATTTAATGCGTTTGAGATAACGCGAATGGTAGTGAACATGGTGCTCTAGATGAGGTTGCACAAATGAAAGTCAGAGAGACATTGCCTTGTTCTGTGATGGGGTACTTCTGTACAATCCCAGCTGGAGTGTGTAGATAAGTTACTACTTTTCTTTTTGCCTGTATTTTGGTTTTTTAATGCTCCATCCCTACTGAATATGTAACTTAGACATTCACACTTGTCCAGAATCCTTCTTTTCTGTTGTCAGAGTTGTTTTGGCTTTTGTGTGTTGATGACACTATTTTACAAGTGTGATCAGCTTACAGTTAAAGGCATTGTATTATGCTGGATTCAAACCAGGAACCGCTTTATGCTTATGTGTTCCTGTAACACATCTGGTCTGCGTATCAGTTTACTACATTGACTCTGTTGTGGGGCATATTGACTCTGCTGTGTTTTAATCTCTTAAATTCCACTAGTGTATTGAGGAAATCACTGCAGCAGTGTCCTGTTTTTGAAAACAAGTACTGTCTTTTGGAAAAATACAGGAGTATATTTAACGTAATGAGTACTAGCTTAAAGGAGTATACAAGCAAAGGGCAAGAAATAATGCAATGGAGTGGCATTTGAGTTTCTGTGGTATCACTTTATGATGATATAGCTGTTTAAATTTAACTGTCATGTAATCATTTTCTCTGAAAACTTAAAGATCACAAGCATGCTACTTATTTGCTTGCTTGGTGTATAGATAATGCATATTTTTTGCATGTGCTGCTGTTACTTAAAAGATTGTTGAGGGATTTTTGATATTTTTTTTTTCCCCTCAGCATCTTCCACTGTGGTTTATTTGCTTTGTGATCTTCATTCTTTTTGTCTTCTTTCTAGCACACTAGTGTTGAGAACACAACTTCGCTTCAGCCCTCAACAACCTTTTCAACTGCTTCAACCTCAGCCACTAGCACCACCTCTTCGGTTGTCAGCATGGCAAGCAGTATGAACACTACAGACAGCCTTGGCCTGAGCGTTGCCAGTGTGTCTATACCAGCTGCTACCACACGGGCAGCTCCCTTAGTGTCTTCAGGTTCGCAATATTAACAGATAATGTGGATAGACAGAGGACTTCAGTCAGCGGGGCTGTCAGTTGAGCATCTCACCAGCCACAACTATGCTTGACTGGCATTTTCAGCATGCTTTCTTTGCTGTCTTATAAAATAAAGTTGCTGGTTTTGTATATTTGAAATATTTGTTAGGGTGTTGTGTGGCATTTATATAGCACACTACGTCCCCAAAGAGCTTTATAAATAGACACCAGGGAAGTTTTGGAAGTTTTGGACTAGGAGATTCACCCAGTTTGCATTCCAGGTTGTGATTGGCTCTTGGCTGTGAGTTCACATTAGCTCTAATGTCAGTCTTTTCTGTGACTTCAATTCATTTGACAGTATCAAAATATACTGCAGTGTCCTCATTATTATATGCCACATCCCTACTGCCACATCTAGAGAAAGGAAAAAAGGTGTCTGATGTCTGGGTCATTCCATAGCAAATAGCACTTCAGAAAAAGGGTCCACAGAGAGAGAAGGTGGGGAGGCTTCTCACACTGCAGTGGGAGCAGTGTGAAATTCTCTATTGCTTCTCTAATCAACCTGAACTGCAAAAAGGAAATCCTGTGGAGGGTACTGAATGATTTAAATATTAAGATCAAACTCTTATAGAAGGATTTCTCATTTCTTATTCCCGTACCTTGTAAATGAAGTGTCTGATGACTGGCCAAAGCACATTTTTTCCACTTTTGTGCTTCCTAGCACTGCTTCATGGAGGCAACTGAAACTTTTAATCTTCTCTTTGCTATTCTCAGCTGCAATAAGTCACTCACAAAAAGTATGCTGGCAACATTCAGTGCTTTCAAGTCTACTGCTGGCGATAATGGGGAATGTGTTGACAGAGCAGAAAATGAAAGGAGAGCATTTGCTCCCTTAGATGGAAAACAATGCCTGAATTTTGCCTTCAGGGGAGGACTGAGGAAAGAAGTTTCTGTAATTCTTGTAATCCTCTTGGTCAAAGTAAATGACAAAATCAGACTGATCTCCGATGGGACTGTTCTCAGCCTTAAATAGTCTGTGATTCCCCTTTCTTGACACACGGTTAAACCCTTGGTCTATTTTGAGCATTTTGATCAGCCAGCACAAAATTCTTCAGCGTAGTTCTGCTCTTCACAAGATATTTGCAGCCACCAGGGCTTGTGAGCTGTCTTGTCTCAATGCTGAAGCCCTTTCTTTTCTAAAGGCTTGTTAAAGTGTCTGTATTTTGACTTTACAGGCAAAGCTCCCCCAAACCTGCCCCAAGGTGTACCGCCCTTGTTGCATAACCAGTATATTGTGGGACCTGGAGGACTTCTGCCTGCCTACCCAGTAAGCAATTTAATTGTTTCTGTACTTGATTGCTTAACCCTTGGTGCAAGTGGGCCCTCCAGACCTGCTGCTGTCTATGCCAAGGCATCTCAGTTGGCACATGTTGCAACCGGAATTTTTGTTCCAAATGCTGCTGAATATATTAAATATATTCAGTGGGGGTTTAGTGTTGATAGTATACTGCAGAACTGTTGGTACAGACCTAATGTGGCTGCTGTTGAAGCTAAATATGCTTGTTACTATGGTTTTCAGTGGTATCAGGTTTTAGGCCCTTTGAGAAAAACTAGTCTCACTCAGGTTTGTTACTGGAGTAGATTTATTATAGCAATGGTTGAAATGTGGTATGTGTTCGTCTGTCACACTTTGAAAGACTACACATGGCTTTTTGATGTCTGAGCAGGATCAACATATTTTTGGTTATCTGTTTTTTGAATCAGAAACTTTAATCATATTTCTGTATCACACTAAATGTGAGGGGATATGGTAGGTTGCTTTGTGGTCCTAGTCATCAGACTTTCAGTACTGTTACTCTCAGAAGTAATGATTGCAGCAAAAGTGGTGGCTGCTCTTACTCCCAAATCTGAATGCCCTATAGATTTTTCACAAGTTGATGAATGTTGCACCTATGAAAAGAGTATTGAAGATGGGACAGTCAAACTCTCCTCAGAGGGCTGCTGTCACCAAGAAACACCGTCAGTGACAAGCTATTTTAAGCTTAGCCCTGCCAGCCTTAAAATGCTACAGTGCACCACGATGGCACAATGCAACATGTATCTGTATACCTTGAAAATACAGTGGGCCTAGGTCAAACTCTGTTTAAAGCCTGAAATTGGTCAGCGTCAGAGAAAAGTATTATAATGATGTTGTATTTTAATCTGTCTTTAAGCAGATTTATGGTTATGATGATCTCCAGATGCTTCAATCTAGGCTACCGATGGTAAGTAAATGACTTTGTTTGTTTAATTTTAAACAAGTTCATTTAATAGTGATTAAAAGCTTATCCTTATGTTCTGTATTCTGTCTGTTTAAACATCCATAAACAGTTTCTCTAGGTGGTGTAAATCGATGTAGAGGAACTGTTACGTTGTGCATTTGCCCATCTGCAAATTCTGTAAATACCAGCAAGTGTACTCTGTGCTTTTGAGTGGACAAGTTTTTACGTGTAGTAGCAACACTATGACATCTTGTCAAATCTAGGTGAAATCTGAGCGTGAATGCTTTCTTTTACCAAGAGGGAGGGTTGAACAGCAAGTTCACACACAGGCAGCCAGTAGGTGCATCTGAAAGGTTTTGGAGGTGGTCATAGCTAGAGATGTTTGCATATGCATCATGGCAACAAATGCAGGTGAGCTGCAGGAGGGAGAGTTCATTAAATTTTCTTCCTTCCCTGGATCCAGAATGTAAATGATGCGTGGTAGACACTGAGCTTTCCGACAGATTCACAAAGAGCCTCGGCTAAGATTGCAGAAGGGTAAAGAATTTTGTTTTCAGAAATCCGGGATAAGGACTTATGAGAGAAAGTTTGGTAGTATGTAACTGAGAAAAGTCATAGAATGAAGTGATGCACTGTATCGGTAGAGACAGAGCAGTGAGCAGTTATCTGGAAAAGAAGTATCACTGGATGAATGCCATAATTAAAGGAGGAAGTCAGTATCAGGTTTTCCGTATGGAGTCTGGGGGCAGCCAGAGTCAGATACTCAAAGGTGAGTACAGGGATGTCCCAGACAAAACCCTGACCAGCTGCACATCCTGGATTAAAAAAAAAAAAAAAGTTGAGTGTATTAATGACAATTTTAACTACCTGATAAAGGCCCGATCCTTGCAATAATTGCCAACTGAAATGAGTGAGATAATTTCCAGATCAGCAAAATGACAAAATATTTGCAGTTCTGGGACCAGAAGAGATGTGGTGTAGTGGGTAGACCCTGGCTGGATGCCAGGTGCCTGCCAAGTTGTTCTGCACTCCACCTCCTCAGCTGGACAAGGGAAAGAAAAAAATAGAGTGAAAGGCTTGTAGGTCAAGAAAAAGACAGGGGGAGATCATTTACCAATTACAGTCATGTAAAAAAAAAAAAAAGACCTGAGGAAACTAATACAATTTATTACCAACCAAATCGGAGTAGGATAATGAGAAATAAAAATAAATTTTAAAAACACTTGACAGCCCCTGCCCTTGAGTCTTCCTGGATTCAGTTTCACTCCTCATTTTCGTACCTCCTCCTCGCCAGCAGTGCAGGGGGATGGTGAATGGCAGCTGTGGTCAGTTCATCACACATTGTCTCTGCCACTCCTTCCTCCTCAGCGGGAGGACTCATCTCCCTCTTCCCCTGCTCCAGCACAGGGTCCCTCCCACAGCAGACAGTCCTCCACGAACTTCTCCAGTGTGGGTCCTTTCCACAGTCTGCAGCTCTTCACGAACTGCTCCAGCCTGGGTCCCTCCCACAGGGTGCAGCCCTACAGGAGCACACTGCTCCAGCCTGGGACCCTCACGGGGTCACAGCTCCTGCCAGCAAACCCGCTCCAGCATGAGCTTCTCTCTCCATGGGGCCACCGGTCCTGCCAGGAGCCTGTTCCAGCGTGGGCTTCCCAGAGGCTCACAGTCTCCTTTGCTCATCCACCTACCCTGGCATGGGGTCCTCTCTGCACTGCAGGTGGACATCTGCTCCACCATGGACCTCTGTGGGCTGCAGGGCACGGCCTGCCTCACCATGGGCTTCATGGTGCTCGCTATGGGCTTCATGTAGCGGGGCAGGTCCCCATGGCCACTGGTGTGTGAGCACAGGCAGGAGCATCCTGGGCCAGTTGTGGTGGCTGTAGGCGAGCAAGGAGCAGTCTTGGGCATCTGCTGTGTTTTCAGAGGCTTTCTGGTGTTTCTTGGGTGGGGTGGGTAGCCCTGGACTGCTGTTGCTTGTCCAAATCTCTGCATGCCTTGGTGCGTCCGCTCCTTGCCCCTTTGAGTTGCATGCACCTTGTTTACGCCACCCTGCGTGGTCCCAGGCGGTGCTGCGGCACTGCTGAATGCTTGTTTGTGAGGAGGTGGTGGTTTGGAGGTGGCTTTCATGTCTTGTCAGTGGGAGGGGGTTGGGAAGGGAGAGAGTGGGTGGTGGGAGAGAAGTGCACGGGGCAGGCATCGTGTCCTCTGGGCACGTGTGCTCTGGAGGTCTGGCATCAGCAGGAGATGCCCGTGGGCTTGAAGGACCATTGTGGGTCCCCAGAGGGACCCGCTGTCCGGAGCCTTCGACTGGGACGTGGGGCACTGGTGGAACGGGCTGCAGGAGGGAGGCTCACCCCTGCCTGCCTGCAGAGACCCTGGTTTTGCCTGTCAGGTACACGCATGGTGAACACCTCTTTTCTTTTTCCTTTGTTTTTGCCTTTGCGAAAAGTCTTTCTTTCCAACAAGTGAATGAATAAATAAAGATGCAAATTTTTAAATTAATGGCTGGCTAAATAAATGAATAAATGAACGCACAAGCAAACAACTAAATAGAGTTTTGTGATCAATAGTCATTGGCGTAAGAGTCCCGCAGTGTCCATGGGGGCCTTCCCCTCCACCGGGGGAGGTCACAGGCTGGACGGGCTAGATCACACGGTGGGTAAGAAATACCAGCCCTCTCCCCAGACCCTCGCAGCTGTCGGTAAGCATGCAGCACCGCAGTTTCCTCCTCCTCCCTTTCCAGCGAGGCTGTGGCCCTGATGCAGGGGTGCGGGCCCTTGCCGCGGTCATGCCCGTTTCCCCGTCGGTGCGGGCTGCTGGCTGGCAGAGGTGTGAGCAGTGCTGAGCAATCCCAGCCCGGGCTGCTGCCGCCTCTGCTCGATACGCGGCTGCCAGCGCTGGGTGGGGCTGGACCTCTGGTGCAGGTGGGCTGGGTGGGGGGCAGGAGCGTCTTGGCTCGTCATTTGCCGGATCAGTGTGCCCACCTGTAGAAACCAGGCGCGAGCCTGGAGGCAGACGCGGTCCCAGGCGCAGGCGCTGTGGTTGTGGGTGCGGAGGAAGTGTTGGATGTCGCTGAAGTGTTTGCTGATGGTGAGCGGCAGGTTGCGGGGCCCTTGTGCTTGGGCGAGCGTGGCGCTGCCTGTGAGGCATTGCTCCAGGCGGTGGATGTGGTGCTGGAGGTTGTTGAGGAGGCGGTGGCGTGCGTCGTCGTCCCAGTGTTGGGGGGTGCTGGGGCTGCTGAGGGTGTGGAAGAGGTGCTGGAGGATGCGTAGGGCGGTGTCGGCGGCTTGCTGTGGGCGGTGGGTGTGGAGGAGGGTGTCGGGGAAGGCGGGCGGGTGCGGGTGGTGGCAGGGCTGTGGCGGGCTGGGAGCCACGGCCTGGAGGAGCTGGAGGCTGTCCCAGGGGAAGGTGGCGTGGCGGGGCCGCAGGCGAGGGCGGTGGCGAGAGGCGGCCGGAGGAGCAGGAGCGCCGGGGCGGCAGGGCGCAGGCGGGGCTGTGGGGCTGCGGGCGCAGGCATGGTGGGGCTGTGGGTGCCGCGTGGGGGGGTGCTGGGCAGGGGGAGGGTGCGGCGTGGTGGCGGTGCGGGTGGGCGCTGTGCTTGGAGTGCTGCCGGCCGGGCGGCTTTATGTGGTGCCGCGGGCGGCTTTGCCTTCCGGGCTTTGTGGTGGCAGCGAGTTTCCGGCTGTGGCTTTCGGTTTTGGCTGTTGGCTGCGGTGGTCTTGGGGAAGTGCGTTGTTGGAGTGGGAGATGCGAAAGCGGCGGGACAGAGCCCTCGGCGGGAGGTGTGTGAGGGTTTCCCTGTGGGCGGCAGGCAGGGCGAGCTGTGGTGGCTGTCTGGTGCAGCTGAAGTTTCCCTTCCTGCCTGCGTGTGTTTCGGGGCTGCGCTGCCCTGGCGTTGGCTGTGGTGTGTTTTCCTTTGGCTTGTGGCTGGCCTGGGTTGTCATCGTAGCTGGTCTTTCCTTTTCGCGTTGGGCAGGGTGGTGAAGTGATGTCAGTGGGGCGAGCGTGGGGAGCCCCCGGTGCAGCAGCGAGGGCCTGGGGGTGGCTGTGGGGGTGGGCACGTGAGTCCTGGGTGTGCTCGTGGCTGGAGCTGCCCTGGCTCCTGTGTTGGAAGCGGATGGGAGCGGGGAGGACAGGCGGGAGGGAGGGAATGGGGAGGAAGGAAGCGGAAGAAGTTTGGCTGCTGGTGGTGCTGCTGGGGCGCGGGGTCCCCAGCTGCGGTGCCGTGCGCGTGGTCCCGGAGCCGGGGCCTCCTTGTGTTTTGTCTGCCTCCTTGCCTCCTGAGGCGGCTGGAGAAGCAAGGAAGGAGGGATTGGCTGTGAGCTGGGGGATTGTAGAGCCCCGGAGGCAGGAGGAGGAGGAACGGGAGGTTGCCACGTCTGAGCGTCGTGGTTTGAGCCTCATCGGCAGCCTAACACTCCTCAGCCACTCTCTGCCCTTCATTCTGGCAATGAGAAGGGACAGATGAGCCAGGCTTGGGGTTGGAGATAGGACCGGGAGGGGCTAGATCACCCACTGTGGTCACGAGCAAAAGGCAGGCTTGTTAGGGGAAGGGAAAAAAACCATCCATTTATTAGAGACACTGACAACCCTTAACAGAGTACGGCACTGAGGCCCTCTATCCTTTGTGTCATGCCAAGTTCAGCTCCGGACATGCCTTGGTCTTCCTGACCCCATCCCTCCACAACCAGGCAATGTCCTTGTACTATTCCCAGGATACCTGTCTCTGCTTCCACTGCCTGTGCATTTCCATTTTGCCCTTTATTTTGACCAACAAGTCTTGACTCAGCCATCTGGAATCTCCTCCCAGTAAAGAGTCTGGAACACTGAAAATACACCATAGCCCCCATGCCAGTTAGAGCCATCCAACATAAGACTCAGAGGATGTATGACAGCAGGACCTTAACACCAGGGAAAGGTATAGACACAAGGAAGCACTGTCTGATTTGTTATTGAAATTTTTCTCACTAACAGTTTTCTTTCTTTTTCTCGTTCTTTTTCTCGTTCTTTTTCTCGTTCTTTTTCTCGTTCTTTTTCTCGTTCTTTTTCTCGTTCTTTTTCTCGTTCTTTTTCTCGTTCTTTTTCTCGTTCTTTTTCTCGTTCTTTTTCTCGTTCTTTTTCTCGTTCTTTTTCTCGTTCTTTTTCTCGTTCTTTTTCTCGTTCTTTTTCTCGTTCTCTTTCTCGTTCTCTTTCTCTCTTTCTCTCTTTCTCTCTTTCTCTCTTTCTCTCTTTCTCTCTTTCTCTCTTTCTCTCTTTCTCTCTTTCTCTCTTTCTCTCTTTCTCTCTTTCTCTCTTTCTCTCTTTCTCTCTTTCTCTCTTTCTCTCTTTCTCTCTTTCTCTCTTTCTCTCTTTCTCTCTTTCTCTCTTTCTCTCTTTCTCTCTTTCTCTCTTTCTCTCTTTCTCTCTTTCTCTCTTTCCCTCTCTCTCTTTCCCTCCCTCCCTCCCTCCCTTCCTCCCTCCCTCCCTCGCTAGGCCAATATTTATTCATTGAATAAGATTATAATTAGGCTAACAGTAAATTCATGGCTTTGCCCATAAAGTGGATTTTTTTTTTTTTGGCTCAGAAGCTACACAAACAGTAATGTGAAAAATTGGTGGAGAACACGGGTAGCCTATGCTACAGTGTCAATGAAACAATTCTGCTTTTAACCTCAAGAGTGTTCCATCATTTGATAATATTTCAGATTTTGTTTGCAAACACCCAAAGACAAAAAATTGTCTCTTCTGTTTCAATGTTTTGGGGTGTTTTTTTTTTTTTTTGTAGGAGGCAGAATATGGTATCCAGACAGTAGCAATGTAATTCCTGCAAGAACAGGAAAAATAAAGCAGCAGTGCTAACCTTCTTCAAGTCTAGTGTTTTGCCATTATTACAGAACTTCAGGATTTAGAAGTTCGAGGCACTATAGTCACTTGCTCTCTCTACTTCATCCCTACAAGGAAAATATTTTAAATGATAGGTTCGTTAAGTCAATACATCATACCCTTGATGTATTTGGGGATGAAGATACAATTTTGTTATTATTTCACAAGAATCTGTGAAATTTTACATTTTAGGTCTTTTAGTTTTATCCTATTTAGAAAAAAAAATCAATAGTATCCAGGATACTAAATAATTTAGGTTAAACTAAAGTTTCATGTTTAAATGTATCATTCCTGTGAAATTAATGTAGAGATCAGTTATCAAAATGGTGTATATATATAGACATTTAGAAATATCAAGGAAGCTATGAAAATTCCTATGGGTGAAGGTACAGACTTGTGTTCAGATTGTGAAATAAATTTACCTGTCCCTAAGGATAGGTAGACCAGGTAGACCAAACTTACACACCTATTCTTCCAAAGACCAAAACTGAGGTGACTTTGTTATTTGTGAACAAAGCCTCATTGCCTTAAAGAAATACATGCAAAAGGCAAAGTTTCTGTGGTGGTAGAAAAAAAATGAATGGCAGCAGTCATTGCTAACATGAGAAACAAGTTAAATCAACAATGCACATCAAAGCTGCTTAGTTTTGCTCCAACAACCATGACCTTGCAAGTGTTCATTTACCCAACAAACATAGGTATGCCCTTTTAAGTGAAGTCAATTATATAAATGTACCGTATGACTCCATCGGCATTAGGCATTTGGACCATGCTGCTACACATTATTAGTGGTGTATTTCTCCCTGCAGTGTGATGGAGTGCAATTACTGTCACATGCAATGAAACAGAAATTTATTCTGTTTATAGAAACATTCTGTCAGACAGCTAAAACTTTGTTAAAGCAAACATAAACAATAATATTTTACATAAATGCATTTTCATGTTAAAAATATCTTTAATTGTTTGTTTGTTTGTTTGTTTGTTTGTTTTTCTTGAAATATCTGAATTTTAAGGTGGAGACCACCCCTTACCTCCTCTCTTGTTTAACTTGGCATACCCTGGCACATAACTGCTTGTCGTAGCTGATGAACTGCTGAAGGAGGAGTGGGGTAGTGCTGAGACCAGAGGTTCATCACACTTTTCTGAAACACAAAAAACCAAGTTCACTTTAAGCTACTTATTATTCACACATATTAAGTGGCGATATACATTTTATTTTTCTTTTGGATAATAACAGATCCTTATTATTTTTGTACACATAGAATGCATACATCCTAACATTTCAGCAAAAAACCCCAACAAAATAACAAAAACCAAAAAGAAAACCTACAAACAAACAAAGTCACACACCTCAATATGAGAAAATAAAGACTACGACAAAGGACAAAAGTAGATAATGGTAACGCCTAACCATGGGCCACCAGTCTCCTCAGGGTTACTACAAATAAACAAAAAAGCCTGCTCTGACATATCTGGAATGTTTTTGGTGACGTGAAAATGTAGTGATAAAAAGTATTATCGTGAAAGCTTCCTAAGTAGTAGATAAGATATAACCTTTCAGCTCTCTAATAGAAGTGCTGATAGCCTGATAATTAAAAATAGAAAATAAATTAGGGTACATTAATAAATGCCTATGAATTATCACATAACAGATTTATTGAAAAAAAAAGCTTAACAAAATAACCTTTTTTTCATATAATCTCTATAATCCATTTGAGCACTTCACTTCTATTTTACTCACTATAAAGAGTATTAATTTGGTATTAGCATCTAAGATGGAAAAAAAAAATCAGAATCTTTGCCTTTTTTGATCAAGAACAAAGTTTAAAACAAAACTGCTGGTATATGAAGTTATGTAAATTAGAATGAAGAGCTTTTGATTTTTCAAATATGTGGGTAATGTACTGCACTTTGTTCTAGTTTTTCCTCAGTTATTTCAACATATGGGTGAAATATTTAGGTTAAATTAATCATTTAGAATAATAGAATAGAATCATAGATTGGTTTGGGTGGGAAGGGACCTTAAAGCCCCCCCAGTGCCACCCCCTGCCCCGGGCAGGGCCCCCTTCCCCCAGCCCAGGGGGCTCCCAGCCCCGTCCAACCTGGCCTTGAACCCTCCCAGGGAGGAGGCACCCACAGCTGCTCTGGGCACCCTGGGCCAGCGCCTCACCCCCCGCACAGGGAACAATTTCTGCCTTAGATCTAGGCTAAACCTGCCCTCTGACAGTTTAAAACTACCCCTTGTCCAATCTCTACATCCCCTGGTAAAGAGTCCCCCCCACCTTTCCTGTACCCCCCTTCAAGTACTGGAAGGCCGCTATAAGGTCTTCCTGAGCCTTCTTTCCTCCAGGCTGAACACTCCCAACTTTTTCAGCCAGTCCTTATGTAGTTCTTATTTTGACAGAGTGAATGTAAAAGAGATAGTTTGCATCAGCCTGGATGGAGCTGTATGGGCTTGTCCATTCATGGGACTTGCCAGAAGTTTAGTTTGGGTGTGAATCTCAAAGTAAGGAGGTGCTCAGTCTGCATTAACATTGGTCAGATAGGGACAGTGGGGAGCTAGTGTGCAGTACTTAGCACACTGTATATAGTCCCCTCAAATACTCTCCTTATGTCGGCAATACCTTTGAGCACACTGAGAATAGCTGTATGCAAAATAACTCATACTTTGATTAAAACTCTCTTAAAGTTATTATAGTGTTGCTAGTGGTTTGTAAATTCACTGCCCAGGTTACCGAATGCTGTCTTTTCTAAGCAGGTAAGCACTTAAGAATAATGGATAGAGTATCATAAAAGAACAGTAACAACCATGAGGAAAAGAATAGTATCATCCACTTAGCTTTTGTCTGTCTATAAGAGAGCTCTTGCTGAATAAGAGTTTATAAATAATTAAAACATGGCTGCCTTTAAATCACTAAATAAACAACAGATCCCTTTCTGTAAACACCTGTTTTAGATAAATACACATTCTACAGTCCAGTACAGTTTATTTGCTGAAACTATGCCACATAATACATAGTAGCTCAAATTTAGGTAATGTGAAGTCAGGGAAAAATAAGTGTTGTTAACCTATTAAATAATTACTTTTTCATTTTAAAAATGTGGAAAGTGGGGTATTCAGGATTGAAAAAATAGACCTCTAGTTGTTCATTTATTAATGAAACCTTAAAAACATGTTTGCTTTGGACATATCATTCTTTGTGTGTCACACAGTATAAACAAGAGTATTTCTGGAATGATTCAGAAAGACTACAATTAATTGATGTTTTGCTTTGGTTGTTTTGGGTTTTGGGGGTTTTATTTTAGTTTCGGGTTTGGTTTTTTGTTTGCTTGTTTGTTTTGGTTTTTGTTTTTGTTTTTGTTTTTTTTTTTTTAATTATTATTATTTATTTATTTCTAGAGCTCCTGTAAGATCTCCTTTACCTGTGAGTCTAAATGAAAATATTTCTGTTTTATTAGTAACATGGCCTTTTGTTATTATTCTTAGTAAATTTTTTGTGTAGCACTAACTTCAACCCCTGTTTATTTTCTTCTTTTAAAATCCATAAATAATTCAGGTTCAGCTCATCATTTCAAATTCTTTTAGAACTAGAAAGAAAAGTCATGTAAGAAAGGCATTTGTCCCCTCACGGCTATTATTTCATGGTTAAACGTTATTGCTGAATTCATATAATTTTCGGTATGTCTTCATCTGCCTCATATCCTACCACATATCAATTTTGCTTATTCCTTACCTTCAAAATAAATAGCTGGGCACTTGGCTTTGATATGTAATGCAACTCACTTCAGCTCTATGTGTGCTTGTATCTCTGTTTTGAAGACAGATGTGATTGCCACTCAGCTGACCGCAGCACTTTCTTTTCTGTGCTTCAGTGATCTGGCCCTAATGAAACATTTTTCATAAATATCTATATTTTGTAGAAGGAATTCTTAAAAATACAAATAAAAATGTTTGCAGTAGTTCATTCCTCTGAAACCACAGGCTCTTTAAGTCTCTGGAGCAATATATGGGGCAGTAGGAAAAAACATGCATTGCAAGAACATAGCAGATTTTGTGACGGTGCAGGAAAAAGAAACATCATAAAGGGGAAAAAAATTACCAGTGTACATCCAGATCAGACTGATGTGTTGAAAAAATAACATTAAAAGAAGAAGACATCACACTTTTCATTCAAAACACAATCCAAGAAACAAAGTCTGTGGAAGGTGAAGCTCAAATAACTGGATAAAAATAAAGCATCATTAGTTTATGTTAATTTTCCGTAGCCCAACAAATACAGAAAGCATGACCATTTTTTCCAGTTCATAACTAATTTGTTAATTGAAGTGTTCAGAATACCTAATTGGCTTATTTAATACATGTTGAGATTGGGAGGAGGGAAAAAATAATGCTGAGTTCTCTCTTAAACTTTGTGTGTGAAACTTTTTCTACAGTAATTAATTGCAGAGGTAGCAGTTCCAAGTGCAGCTGGAGACATAAGGAAGATGGGCAGCTGCCTAGAGCCACAGATGGATGGGGACAGCAGATCTGCCCCAGCTATGCTGAGCAGATAGCTTTTTCAGGCAAAACTCAACATAGTTCATGAATTCTTTCCGAAGCTAACGAACAGCTGACACTGGCAGGAAAGGGGCTGTGCTGGTGGCAGAGTAGGCAGCCTCACAGCTGGCCAGAATGGATCCATATATCACAGATACACTTTTTCCATATCCTTAGGGACCAGTGCATCTCTTGCCATTTGTCTGCAGAGTAGACAAATTCAGTGCTCTTGACTATCTAAAAAGCCCAGAGTTTAATCTGAAGGTTTCTCAAGCATCCCTGGGACAATAACCTATAGATAGTTAAGAAATTTGTTTAGGTGTTACTGGCTTCATCTCTGTGCTATCCTGAAAAGACAGACCTGATTATCTCTCCATCTCCACTCAGAATAGTTACATTCTTATTCACAATTGAGCAGGAGCTAATGGTTTCAAACATGGGGAGGCTGACAAGATTATACTTGAGCTTTATAGGTGGTATAGTATATCTGGTCTTTCTATTTCTTACTGTATGCAGTCAGATGCTTCAGATTTCACATGGATGACTCATACACATAAAATATGTTAAAAGTTCTCACACTCGTTCTAGAAGTCATTAAACATGTATTGCATTTATTTGGTATGTGTTTCAGAAGCATTCATCAAGCTTACATTCACAGAAGTTATCACCTGCACATGGAGGTGTTAATATTAGTCAGATGTTTTATAGTTGTTAGGGCAAGAAGAGTATTGCCAGTGGCAGGTTCTTGCCTGCATAAAGACATTTTTTGCAGAAGGACATCAGTCCTTATAAATCAGGCACTAAATTACATAATCAATCCATTTAAAGATTGCAGACATTACCTCTGGTATCTAATTTAAATTCTTGAAACAGGGAATGGAGTTTATTTTAAAAACTGGCACACTTTATAATTAAATTTTAGAGTTAATATAAAGGGTGAGACTTTGGCTGAAAAATACATGTTAGTGACACACTGGAGTTCTGCTAGATGCCTCCTCAACCCAATGCCTCACAAAAAACTTGCCTACACTGGAGTTGGCACATTTAACAAATCAGAAAATGTCATACTTCTACAGACAATGGTGCTATTGAGTTTACACAGATCAATGGGAAAACGTAGGATTAAAAAAATCTCAACATAAGAAAACTGGCCAACCTCTTTCGACAGGTGCAGTACATTTACGAGTAGCAGAGGCTGATGGGTTAGATATCCTAGGCTAGGTTATAACTACAAATACTTCAGACCAATATACAGAGATGTGTGAGACTCACCTGGAATTGTGGCAAAGATGCAGTGAGTGTACAGAAAATGTACTGTCAGCTGCTTCCAAGCTAGGGGCCTCTTGTCAGACAGTATGAGTGTTTCACCCTCTCCTGCACACAAAATGCAGGTTTTCCTTACCTAGATGAGTATAGTGCAACTGGTAGCTTCTTCGAGCACAGCCAAAATACTGATTTTGCCAAATAAGTCATAAACAAATATAAATGATGGTAGAAATGGGAGCTATTTGGCTACCTTTAAAACCTCCTAGTACAGTAATATGCTGAAAGAGAGAAAAGATAAATAATGTGATGAAATGAGGCTATTTGCTGCAGGATGAGAGACTGCAGCTATTATTCATGTTTCAGCCTTCATGATTAGACTTATTCACAAGCCAATCTGAGCTACACTGTGAGAGACAGAACATTAATACTAATTTTTATGTATGTGTTATTACATAAGTCACAAAAAATATCTTTGGATCTGGAAGAGTCTGACTTGGCATCCAGTCCCACATCATGGATTTGCAGTTGGTTTCACTTTGTTTTGTCTTACTTTCTTAGTTGAAACTATTTTTTAAAACATTTGTGTGTAAGACTCACTTTAACATTGATAAAAATTATATAGGCACACACATATTTGAAGGAAAAAAAGTGTATCAACTCATACTGAGCAGGATCACTTTAGAAAACTTCAGCTTTAAGCAAGCCTTCCGTAGCGAGTTGAAAAGAGAAGAGGTGAATGAGAGTGTTGTCAAAGTTCTTTGAGCAAGAGAAAAATCCTTTCCTTGAGTAAGAGAGAGAATAATTTTCTTTTATTAGGTTATCACTGTAGCTGAGATTTGAGACAGCTTTGTGGAGAATGGCAGATGACTATAACACTGTAGGGTGAGAAACTCGGTGTAATTAAGAAGCAACAGTTTAGTTATGCTGACCCAGATATTAAAAAAAGCAAGTTGTGCTGAAGGACAAAGCAACCCTCAGAAGAAATGTCAATAGTAGTTTAACCCTTGCTTCCTGTTATCTTCCCTGCTTTACTCCTTCTGAAGTGCTCCATTTGTTTAGCTGTGATATATTGTTCACATAGGATAATATTGTTCTATATTGAATGTCTTTGGCAGTTTGTCAGCCAACTAAAAAAACCATGAATATTGATAATGAGCTATTGTCTTTTCAGAGCCCTAAAATTTTCTGACCACTTCTAGGATAGATTTTTATTTCTTTTAGGATGGACTTATATTCTTTGTGACAAAATTTGTTTGAATGGTAAATTTTCAAAGTCACTCAGTGTTAGATAAATTGTTTCTGCTGAGATTCATGGGGATGTATATTTGATAAGCAGTAGGAAAAAAAAAAAAACAACAAACAAAAACAAACAAACAAACAACAAGAACGCTTAAAAAGCTGTTTTTTGAAAAGTTGTATTTTAGATGTCTCTGCTTTTCAATATTGACTACCGTCAAATTTAACATTCCTTCTGGGATTTTAGGAACTTTACTCCTGGTGAGCTGATTCTGCTTTGGTTAAGAAAGTTGTCAAAAATTAACTAATGTTTGTAAGGACCAAAGGGTCCTACAGTATGTAAAAATAGGCACTTGACCATGTCTGTTAACTACATAATATTTATATATCAGGAATGAGTAGCCTCAGGTTATCTGCTAGCCATCACTGGCTTCTTAGCTTTTTATTAGTACAGATTGTGTGATATGAAGATGACTTGGTTTTGAGGGAAGAATCAGGTGATATTGGGCAATTTTGTAAATGACTGGTAAAGAAGATTGTTGCTGAGCAAAACAGGGTATTGTATGTTTCCTGAGAAGGAAATATTTTTGGGTTTAGCATAGTGCTGCACTAAAAGAGCTTTAGCTGACATTCTGTCAAATGTAGAATATATAGAAATTAGATGTTTCTTTTAATACACAAGCCAAGTTGTTTTTAATACGTACTGAGAGAGATGGTACGTGAACTACTTCGCTTTATTCAGTACCAAGAAGTTGTCTGTTTTCTACTGTGGGGAAAGAACCTTCAACAAAAGCCAGTGCTGGGATTATTTAGTTTGCTGACTTTAGCAGCTGGTCAACAGCAACTGCCATAACATATTTTGAATACATAGAGGCGATTGTTGCTTGTACATGTTGTTTTCCAGGTGGCTTTTTTTTGTTGTGGATTCTTTGTTTTGATTTTTTTTTTTTTTTCACAATTGTGATTAACTCAAATGGTAATCAATTGTCACAAATAAAAAGTTCTATGCTACATTTTGAAAATAGCCATTATTGAGAGACTAGAGAAACTATTAATTGTGGGCCAAATTATTGTAAGCAATCTCTAAAGGTTACTTTAATGAACATCAAGTTTCAAGGCAAAACCAAACCTACATATTATATGCAGAACATATTATCTTAAACACCCTGGTGATGGTGCTTTAACTCTTCTCTTGAAACAGTAAGTAATGTGAAACGCATCGAAGACAGCAACCAATGTATTGACCAGCAATGGCTGTTTGATGAGCCACATCCAAAGTCATATGGAAAGGAGTACTGTTGCTGGCAATCAAAGCAGAGACACCAGAAACTGAGTAGGAATTAGCAATAAATTATTTTAAACATTCCAGTTCTCAGGTTTCCACTA